ATTGATTCAGTGACTGGGATAATTGGGATGGGAGTGTCAGAGACAGTGCGGTTGGCACAGGACAGAGTGGAGTTTAGGGCTGTTGTATATAGGGTCGCTATGAGTCGCAGGCGACTCGACAGCACATAACAACAACAACAACTGCCTTTGCTAGCATAATCTCTCTCTCCAATAATTAGCAACATGCCCAAAGTATGTGAGATGAAGCTTTATCATCTTTGCTTCCAAGGAGTACTGTGGCTGCACCTTCTCCAAAGCATATCTGTTTGTTCTTTGAGCAATCTGTAGGATGTTCAGTATTCTTCTCTAACACCGGAGTTCAAAAGCATCACTTCTTCTTTACATCCTTAGTCACTTTCTAGTTCTCAGATGCATAGCAAGTGATTGAAAAGAGTATGGCCTGAATCAGGCACACCTTAGTGCGCAAACTTACATCACTGCTCCTCAGTAATCTGGGGAGGTCCCTGACTGCCTACTTTCCAAGTACAATTCATCTCTGGGTCTCCTGATTGCTGGTACCAATTGTATTGAACACGGATCCAAGTAAGATGATGCTGTTGACAATTTTAATCTTTTCTCCATCTATTTTGATGTTGCCTAATAGTACACTCTAAGAATTTTTCTTTCTTGACACTGAAACACAATCCATATTGAAGGCTATAGTCTTTGATCTTTTGCAACAAGTGCTTCAAGCTCTCCTTACTTTCAGCAAGCAAGGCTGTGTCCTCTGCAAAATGCAGATTATTGATGAGTCTTCCTCTGATCATAATGCCACATTCTTCTGCATAGAGTCCAGCTTTTTGAATGACTTTCTCAGCATAAAGATTGAATAGGTATGTATAAAGGATACAACCCTGATGTACACCTTTCTTAATTTTAAACCACATAGTGTTCCCTTGATCTGTTGGCACAACCAGTCTCTTGGTCTAATTACAGTTTTCACAGTAATAGTACACAGAGAGAGAATTGCCAGAAGTTAAAGGAAGATTTAGAAGAAGCCATGGTCCCTGGGATAGCACTGTTAATGTCAGAGGGATTTTGGCTGACAGCAAATACAAAAAGAATGCCTATTTGTATCTTATTTACTATGCAATGACATTTGACTGGGTGGATCATAACAATTTCTGGCTAAAGCTGTGAAGAACTGGAATCCCAGAACACCTACCTGTGCTATGTGAAACTATTTGGGTGTACAGCATAAACATTTTTTTAATATTTCTTTTTGACTGTGTGGACCACAACAAACTGTGGCTAACTCTGAGAAGAATGGAAACCCCAGAACACTTGACAGTGCTTATGTGAAACCTATACTTGGACCAGGAAACAGTCATCAGAACAGAGCAAGGGAACACCACATGGTTCAAAATTGGGAAGGGTGAACACCAGGGATGTATCCTATCTCCAAACCTTTACAATCTATATGCAGAACAGATTATCCAGTAGGCTGGGCTCTATGAGGAGAAATGTAGCATCAAGATTGAAGGAAGATATAATAATCTGTGTTATGCAGATGATACAACCCTGCTTGCTGAAACTGAGGAGGACCTGAAGTACTTGCTGAAGAAGGTGAAAGACTTTAGCCTCCAATATGGATTAAAGCACAATATCAAGAAAAGAAAGATTCTCACCACTGGACCTACTGACAGCATCATGATGGATGGTGAAGAGACTGAGATTGTACACAGCTTTAGTTTGCTTGGCTCCATAATCAACACTCTTGGCACCAGCAGCCAGGTAATTAAAAGACATATTACATTGGGAAAGTCTGCTGTCAGAGACCGTGCCAAAGTACTGAAGAACAATGATGTCACTTCAGAGACTAAGGTGAGCCTGATACAGGTCATGGTCTTTGCAATCACTTGCTATGCATCAGAGAGGTGAACAATGACTAGGGAGGATAGAAGGAGAATTGATGCCTTAGAGCTTTGGTGTTAGAGAAGAGTATGGAATATACCATGGACTGCTGTGAGAATGAACAAGTTTGATCTGGAGAAAGTTAAGTCAGACTGCTCCTTGGACGCAAGGATTCTGAAGCTTCATCTGGCATACTTTGGAGGTTGCAACGGAGGGACCAATCCTTGGAGAGGGATATCATGCTTGGGAGGGTGGAAGGACAGCGCAGGAGAGGAAGACCCTTGATGACATGGACATTACCCGAGTGACTGGAGTAATGGGGGTAGGTGTGTTGTGTCAGAGACAATCACACTGGCACAGGATAGAGCAGGGTTTAGGTCTGTTGTACATATGGTTGTTATGAGTTGCAGGCAATTTGACGGCACATAACAACAACAACTTTTTCAAATATTTTATTGAGAAGCTTTGTACATGAAGAAAAGTTGAAAACAATGCTATTGCAAGTATCCATGTTACCAATACAGATTCACTTATTGTTAACTTTCTGTCAATTTGATTTCTTGTTTTAATGCCATTGATTTTTATAATTCATATTCTTTTGTGCACCACTCCTAAGAGATATTTTCAAACTCTGACATAAAAGACATCTAATTCAACTACTCCTGTTTCAAAAAGACCTATACCTTTTCTAAGAATTGGCTCTGTTTCACCAATTTTATCTAGATATCTATATGTTTATTGTTCTTCCTGTTGGACATTAAATGAAATATTAATAAAGTTTTATATCTAAGTATTTTAATTGAAGGAAAGAACAATGACATAATTCATATGTAGTGAGAATTCTTAACAAAGGACATTCTACATTGATTAGGATGTCATTAAATTTATATAAACAAAACTGTTAATATTAACACACCAGGAAACAATTTAATATAAACCAGCAGTTTTGAAGTTTGATTGAAAATATATACCTTTGACAAAGAGAATTGCTATGGGTTTGGTGCACTTTAGGACACCAAGCCTTGTTAGGCTACTCTGCCTTGTCTCCTTCTGAGCTCAAGTATCCCACTTTGATAGCTATCATAATGCAACTGCACAGTTTCAAAGTCTTTAAAAATCTGGGATATTTAACTTCTCAAAATAAACTAACTTCCAAAAAGGAAAGCAAACTTTGCAACTGTATTTTTGTGACAAAATAAACTAGTTCCAGTAAATGTATATATATGATTTTAAACAGGTCTCTAAAAGACCTGTTGTTGTTGTTGTTGTTATGCACTGTCAAATCAGAACTAACTCTTAGCTGAGCTTTCAGTGGTTTTTAGAGGCATTAAATTGCAGAGGAGGAGACTGACCACCTTTATTCTGCAGACAACTGGTGGATTCAAACCATATGAGTTCTGGCTAGCAGTACAATTCCTGATACCACAGTCACCAAAGTTCAACAAAGCTATATATATATGTTGTTGTTATGTGCCGTCGAGTCGCTTGCAACTCATAGCGACCCTATGGACAACAGCCCTAAACCCTGCTCTGTCCTGTGCCAATCACACCATCTCCAACACACCCACCCCGAGTACCCCAGTCACTGAATCAATCCATCTCATAGAGGGTCTTCCTCTCATGTGCTGTCCCTCTACCCTCCCAAGCATGACGTCCCTCTCCAAGGACTGGTCCCTCCTTGCAACATGTCCAAAGTAAATCAGATGAAGCTTCATAATCTCTGCCTCCAAGGAGCACCCTGGTTTCACCCTCTCTAGGTCAAACCTGTTTGTTTTCTTAGCAGTCCATGATATATTCCATACTCTTCTCCAGCACCACAGCTCAAAGGCATCAATTCTTCTTCTATCCTCCCTAGTTAATCTTTGCATAGTATTAAGCATTAATTTCATCTTTTTATGATCACAGTAGCCAGTAAAATACATAAAAATTACAGTGTATTAAATTTAATAATACTGTAAAATTAAAATAGCAAGAGTAAGACGTTACTTTAAATGCTGTTTCTAAATGTCAATGTTGTTGTGTACCACTGAATCAGAACCGGCCTAGAGCTGACCCTCTTGCAGGATTTTAGAAACAGTAAGTCACACAGGAGGAGACTCTCCATCTTTCTCCCAGGTACAGTTGGTGGATTCAAACTATATGCCTTTGGATTTGTGGCCATACTCCTTATCATCAAGCCACTGTTGTTGTGGTAGATGGTGGAGTTGGACCTGACCCACAGCTGACCCGCTGGCAGGTTTCTAGAGGCAGTAAATCACACAGGAGAAGATTGCTCATCCTCCTCCCACACCACTACCCATTAGAGCTCTCTAAATGTCAATAAAGGCATACAAATCAAAGAGGTAGGGAGGGGAAGCAGTTTTAAAAAGCAGCATTATGCTAAAAACGTCAAACTGAAACAAAACAAAAGCCCTTACTCACTCACTGCCATGAAGTTGAGTCCAACTCCGAGCAACCCTCCTCTGGATTTTTGAGGTAAATTTTAAGAAGAGGAGGCTGTGCATCCTTCTCCGTCAGAGTCGCTGGTAGATTCAAACTATGACTTCTGGTTCAAAGAACAACACACTACAGGCTACGCCAACAGATTATATTCAGATATAAAACTTAGGAACTCTGGGGAGCTCCGTACCTTTATGCTGATTTTCAAACTCTTCAGATAAGAGGTGGTAGCAACAACCAACACTGCACACTCCCTTGATTTCACGCTTAGAAGTAAATATCCGCAGAGTGTTTGGAGCAAGATCACCGCAGGTATGTAGGCCCACCATCAAACAATCCTTCAAAGAAAAGACAATTTTTAATTAATCACAAGAAAGGTTTAAAAACAATTCAGATGAAGATTTTCCTAGAGTATATGTAGTTCTTTATAACTAATAAATATTTCCCAGAAGCTATTTCTCTATTTTACTAATAAAAAAAAATATTTCCTAAAAAGGCAATATAGAGCTCTGGTGACCTTGTGCTAAGGAGCTGCGCTGCCATCCCAAAGGTATGTGGTTCAAATTCACCAGCTGCTGCAGGGGGAAAAGATGGACAGTCTCCTCCCCTGCAATTAAACTGCCTCTGGAAACCTACAGGGGGTGTCAGCTATGGATTGATTCTGACTCAACGCTATATAACAATAACATATTTACAAAATGTTTTGTTTACTTAGAAACTTGAATTTTCTGATTTATTTTGTAACTAATATTTCCTTAACAAGCAGCCAAAGTTAGGGTTCTCTAATCAATTCTTCTTTATTTCACATCCTCAAATTTTCATTTTATTCTACATAACTTAGACATTTTAAAAACTATTGCCAAAAGACCTACGCGACACTGTTTGTATTTCTAACACCAAAAAGTTTATTCATCCACTGCATTAAACATGCCAATATCAATTTAACAGGAAAGCTTTTATTTTAATTCTGTGTAAAAATTCTATGAAGTGCTTTTTCTAATTATTTAAAAGCCTAATGTAATTGAAAATATACATACATACACATGCACTCATAAATCTTCTTAAACATATCACCAATTATGAAAATGCTAAATTCAATATACTTCAATACTTTTAAGTCTTTGTACTGTCTTAAAGAAATTTAAGATGTGGTAAAAAAAGTTAAGTTTGATATAGGAAATCTATGCTATATTATAGAACTGTAGACTTTTATAATTTGAAAGTAAAGATTTTAGAACACGTCTAGTATTCTAAATATCTCTATATATTAATCAATAGTAAAAGCAGATAATCCAAAAGTCGCCAACTACTCTCGGGGTATCAGCTACAGGAAGCTGCAATGCTAACCTCAAGGCACAGGCCTCCAGGACTTCAAATCCACCAGAAAGTCTGCAGAAGAAAGCTGGGAAGTCTCTCCTCATTGTGGTTTATAGCCTTGGAAAGGCACAATGGAGAGTTGTTATGGGAGTATGAGGGCTCAGAAGAGTGGGAGGAAGTGACTTCATGACAGCAAGTTTGAGTTTTCAGTATCTGTGCTTAGCACAATAATACTGATTTCTAGTTTAGTTTATTTATAAGTTAACTAAGCCAAGACTCTCATATATTTATACATATGTTGTTTGTTGTTATGTGTCGTCGAGTCGCCTGCGACTCATAGCGACCCTATGTACAACAGCCCTAAACTCCGCTCTGTCCTGTGCCAATCGCACTGTCTCTGACACTCCCATCCCAAT